TGGCTTGATTCTTTTGTCTTCTTTTCCCTTGTAGATTTTTAATTTTCAGTTTTCTCAGGCCTGTGAAACTGATCCAGTTTTCCTATAGAACTGATGTTTATGGTTTCTTTTGCATAAACCTAGCACTTGACCTTTCTAGTTTTGAAACTTGAGAAAGTTACATTTGTCTTATCTGAATTCCTTTCTCAGGAAGCCAACCATCAGGCCTCCCAGGTGGTATCAAAGAACCGAAAACTTACCAGATCACTGCATCTGGACAATGAAATGCCAGAACTCTTACCTGGCATGAGTGCCTAACCAACCACCTGCTTCCTGTTGAGCAACTCCTTTTCCTTACCCCTCCCTAATTCTTATGTTTCCACACATGGTTATATTTCTTCCCTGCTCTATAGACCCCTAATTTTAGTTAGTCAGGGAGATGGATTTGAGACCTCCCATCTCAACTTTAGCACCCTATTAAAGCCTTCTTCCCTGGCAGTAATCATTGTCTCAGTGATTGGCTTGCTGTGTTGTGAGCAGCAGGACCTAAACCAAACCCCTGGTATTTTGGTAACACCTTTTAAGTCATTTACCACATTCCAACTGTGAATTTTGCTGATAAGTTTTTTCTTTTTCTTTTGGACATTTATGTCTCTCTTGTTTCTATAAGGTTATTTTGGTAGGGAATGGATATAAGTGCCATGGATTTATTCACCTTTTGAAATTTTTTTGTCCTTAACAGTGAATGTTGACATGAGAAAATATGGAACCCACCTTTTTATAGATGTCTTTTTCCTGTAGCATGCATTCTTAGTGGTGGTGATACTTGGTTCTTGAGAAGGGGTGAAATCTTAGATAAAACAATGGTTTATGGCCCCCAAAATTCTAATGGACAAAAATCTTATCCTTAGTATTTAGTTTTGGGGTGCAGGGTGTGGTAATGCAAAAAGCTTGAGAAACAGTGTCCTACAGCATTTCCTTTATTCTTGAAATTAATTAACCTTACAGAATATATATTCACATTGATCTTTCTGTGTCTGTTTTTCCTGGGCATAGTGTGTCTTTCTGTTATGTGTGTTATATTCTCATCTTTGAAAACACCAGCTAAAGTTATTTTATCTGCTTTATCTCCTTTGATACTCTACATTATTATATTTCTTTCATTTTGTGCTTTTCTCAAATCTGTTTAACATGTCCGTTCCTTTTTTTTTTTTTTTTTTTGAGACAGAGTCTTGCTCTGTCGCCCAGGCTGGAGTGCAAGTGGCATAATCTCGGCTCACTGCAAGCACCGCCTCCCGGGTTCACGCCATTCTCCTGCCTCAGCCTCCTGAGTAACTGGGACTACAGGTGCCCGCCACCACGCCTGGCTAATTTTTGTATTTTTAGTAGAGATGGGGTTTCACCATGTTGTACAAGATGGTCTCGATCTCTTGACCTCGTGATCTGCCCACCTCGGCCTCCCAGAGTGCTGAGATTACAGGCGTGAGCCATCCATGACTTTTTAAACCTGGCTTTTTGTTGTTGCTTCCCCCATTTTTAACTCTGTTTTTTGTTTTGTTTTGTTTTGTTTTTTAACTTAGCTCTGTCAGCCCTCTTTTCATCACTTGTCACCTTAGTTCTTCTTTAAACTTTTTAGTCTTTTTTTCCTTTAGACGAGGGGTCCCCAAACCCCAGGCCACAGACCAGTACCAGTCCATGGAACCAGACCGCACAGCGGAAGATGAGTGGCAGACAAGCCAACATTACCTCCTGAACTCTGCCTCCTGTCAGATCAGCAGCAGCATTAGATACTCATAGGAGTGCGAACCCTATCGTGAACTGTGTATGCAAGGGATCTAGGTCGCACACTCCTTATGAGAATCTAATGCCTGATGATCAAGGTGGAACAGTTTCATCCCGAAACCATTCCCCGCAACCTGTCTGTGGAAAAACTGTCTTCCATGAAGCCGATCCCTGAGGCCAAAAAGTTTGTGGACTGCTGCCTTAGGTCATATCTTATATTTATCACCTCTCATTGTGTTCCGTCTAATTTTGGCCTCTATCCTACATTTGTTTCTTTCTGATAATCACCTGTCAGCACCAAGGCAAGGGGGATAAGACCAGTGAGGGACTTACTTCAATCACAAAATTTAAGGAAGCAAGAAAAAGCTCAATAATCAAGATAAATATTTTATTGCAATATTTTTTAAAGGACTAAATTACTGTGTAATGAGCAGAATATCAAAATTTTTAATAAAGATAGGATTGGTTATTGAATGAAACAATCTGTTATAAGTTTGGGGCACATATGTGTGTGTAATACAGTGATGTGAGCTTTATTGCGTAACACATCCTCTTAACCAAATCTGTCATTTCCTTTGCCCTGCAGACTCTTCTCTCATTTTTTTTCCACTTTGTTGAGATGTAAAACTACTGTGTTATTCACAGACTTTCTACACCACTTACAATTCATGCTTTTCTCTTCTGTGCCACCTATGCTTCAGATCATTGATGGTAGAAATGGCTCCCTTGTCTGCATAGGAAGGTGTTTGCCAGAGAAAATGGTGAATTGTGAGCTATATGTTCTTTTATTTTTCTAAAGCTTTAATAAGGATATTTAACAGTACAAAATGTGAAACATTTTGAGAAATACTGGCTGGAAGTATAATGGGAATGATCATGGAGTAAAAGTTTAAAACTCCTGGGCTACTTATAGCAAGAGACTGATCATCTGCTTTACTTTCTTTATTTGGTTCTTTAGATCAGCATTTCCCAATCTTTTTGGCACCAGGGACCAGTTTCATGGAAGTGGGGATGGTTTTGGGATGAAACTCTTCCACCTCAGATCATCAGCCGTTAGATTCTCATAAGGAGCAAGCAAGCAACCTAGATCCTTTGTATGCACAGTTCATTGTAGGGTTCATGCTCCTATGAGGATCTAATGCTGCTGCTGATCTGACAGGAGGCAGAGCTCAGGTGGTAATGCTTGCTTGCCTGCTGCTTACCTCCTGCTGTGTGGCCCAGTTACCAACAGTCCATGGACTGGTACTGGTTTGTGACCCAGAGTTTGAGGACTCCTGCTTTACACAGCATATGTTTCGTTTCCTCCAAGATGCTATTCTCAATAATTAGACTTGATTCTTAAGATGCCCGGATATTTAGAATTAATTTAAATTTATGATCATTATTTATGAATGTTGCTCGTTATTGCTTATGTCTTTCTGTATTTATAATTACTGAAGCAGGATATGCATTGTTTTTCCCTTTTGCTTCTTTCTAGCACACTCTACTTCTCACTATAGTCTTATTATTGTCTAGCACATACTGATTCAGGAAATTTAACTTGAATCCTTTAATCAGTCAGAACCATGATTTCTTATCTTAATCTTAAAAGAGAAGTTGTTTCATAGCCTAAAGAAAATGGTAGAGTTAGTTTATATTGTTTTTGCTAAATAAACTGACGAGATAAAAAGTGGATGTTGTTAAGGGAGGGAGAGAATAAACAATAAACCCTGGAAGAAGTACAAGATGTAAATTCTGTTGAGCAAATAAGTTCACTGTTGTGTTGCCCAGAGCAGATTCTTTTCCCTCCAAGGTTAAGAATCTTTTCAGGAGAGGATATTGATTGTCTCTCTCTATGGTATCTGATGGAAAAAGAGGTGGTAAATGTGATGTATTCCTGTCATATTTTAATTCATTTGTTGAGATTAAAAACAAGGATGTAAAACACTCATTTTATATATTCTTAAGAGTCAAGAGCACTGAATCAAAAAGTTGACATTTTCACTAAATGTTTACACCTTTGGTGCAGAGTATTCTGTAGATAGCTCACATAGATCTTATGTAATATTCATTTTATTTTTTCCTTTAGCTGGAAGTGCTCTTGGTTGTTACTATCAAAGACATGTAAAAGCCTGGAAGTTAATTTTAGATACTTAAAGGGAAATGTTAACATTATTTTTATCTTGCTTTGTTAAATTTCATAAGATTTGATAAATAAGATATCAAGAATAATGAAATAAAATTATTAATGGGCGTTTACTCTTGAATAATGAAGTAAGAAAAAAGTAATAAATCTATATTCTAAAACTTATTTTGGCCTTAAAAAAAATTCTGCTTTTAGCTCGGCACAGTAGCTCATGCCTGTAACCGCAGCAACATGAGAGGCCAAGGTGGGAGGATTGTTTGAGGCCAGGAGTTTGAGACCAGCCTGGACAACATAGCAAGGCTCCATTTTTTTTGTTTTTTTTTTCTTTTTTTTTTTGAGACATAGGTCTCGCTCTGTCACCTGGGCTGGAGAGCGGCACAATCTTGGCTTACTGAAACCTCAGCCTCCCGGGTTTAAGCAATTCTCTGCCTCAGCCTCCCAAGTAGATGGGGTTACAGACACCCATCACCATGCCCAGCTAATTTTTGTATTTTTAATAGAGACAGGGTTTCACCATCTTGGCTGGGCTGGTCGTGAATCCTGACCTCGTGATCCACCTGCCTTGGCCTCCCAAAGTGCTGGGATTACATGCGTGAGCCACTGCGCCTGGCCAGCAAGGCTCCATCTTTAAAAAATTTTTAAAATTTAGCAGGACATGGTGGTGTGTGCCAACAGTCCCAGCTGGGAAGCGTGAGGATCACCTGAGCCCCGGAGTTTGAGGCTGGAGTGAGCCTTTGTTCCTGCCATTGCACTCCAATGTGGGCAATAGAGCAAGACCCTCACCTCAAAAGTAAATAAAAAGTTATCCTTTTCATGGCATTCTCACTAGTTAACTCAAAGCATTTGATGAAAATATTAGCTGTATTTTAGAAGTAGATGTTTGTAGCATATGTGACAACTCTTTTGTAAGAGTAGTGAGTGAAAAATGGCTTTTGGTAACTGTGCCTTTGTACATTCTTATCTGAGACATCTTCAGATAAGTTATTTGAATAGAAAAATAAAAAGTAACAAGTCTCCCACCACAGAATGAGTATGTTCATGTTTTGGCTTTGGGGTATAACACTTCTAAGGATATAATTAGCTTTGCTTTTCATTTTCTACTTTTTCTCCACAGCCTCATGATTTTGATGAATGTCGATTTGATATTAGTGTAAATGATAGTGTTTGGTATCTTCGTGCTCAGGATCCAGATCATAGACAGCAATGGATAGATGCCATTGAACAGCACAAGGTAAGATTCCTGATGTTTACCTGTCCATGGAGGACTAGGTAAGAGATTGTTGACAGTGCCTTAAAAAAATATTGACATGTGACATTAGTTACTGAAACATTGAACATTACTTGGGTGGTAAAGATTAAAGCAGTTCATATGTAAATTTTTGAAATAATTTTATTTTTAACGCTTTAGTTGTACTAAGGGTATTTGCTATGATAAATATTATTTGACTGGGCGTGGTGGCTCACGCCTGTGTTCCCAGCACTTTGGGAGGCCAGGGCAGGTGGATCAACTGAGGTCAGGAGTTCAAGACCAGCCTGGCCAACATGGTGAAACCCCCTTTCTACTAAAAATACAAAAATTAGCTGTGCTTAGTGGCGAGCACCAGTAATCCCACCTACTCAGGAGGCTGAAGCAGTAGAATTGCTTGAATCTGGGAGGCGGAGGTTTCAGTGAGCCGAGATTGCACTACTGCACTCCAGCCTGGGCGACAGAGCAAGACTCCGTCTCAAAAAAAGAAAAGATAAAATATTGTTCATTGTTAACTAAAACAAAAATATGCTCTTTTTCATAAAACATATTTCGATTTTTTATTTATGATTTGCTTCATAATAAATACCATTTTTGTGATCTAAAGAAAAGGATTTTTGAAATAACATTGGATTGTAAAACCCTAACTTGTAAAAGCTTCAGTGTTTATTTTTGTTATAACTCTTTGGGTAAATTCTTAGTACGAACATTTGTAAATCGGTTATTCTTTGTAAATGTGAGGCTATCTAATGATAAACCTGTAGAAAGTATTATTATATAAATATATAAGGTACATTCATATAATTTAAAGCTTGTTTTTGACTTTTGTTAATAAATATTAAGTAGACTGAAGAAATACATTAATAAATATGTATTATTAGCTAATTCAGTAATACCATGATAAAACAAAGAACAGAGAAAGTTCTAAATCCACCATGTCATTCTTGAGTATGACTTTAGAGAAGTTTTGCTTGTTTACATACTTGCCTGTACTTGTTCGTTTGAGTTTCACAGAGTTGTAGTTGAAACACTACAACTGTTTTGGTTACTTTTAACAGGCACAAAACACACACACACACACCCCTACACCCATACACCCAAGAAAAACCAGTCTGGCCTGAAAAAGAAAAACTAACACAATTGATAAAGAAGTATGCGATTGTGAAATCTCTGGTACTGTTTTGGTTATTTTTAACAAGCGCAAAACACAACACACACACACACACACACACACACACACACCCCTACACCCATACACCCAAGAAAAACCAGTCTCACCTGAGATTGCATAATTCTTTATCCAATCGTATTAGCTTTTCTTTCTTGGTTTATTAAGATTTCTACCAGCCTAAATAAAATTGACTGTTACCTGTCTTTTTTTGTTTTAGCTTTAGGACTATATATTTAAACTTTAGTGTTAAGGTTTTAAAACATTTTCTAAGTCTTAGTTATCTTGGTAATGTTACTTCAGAAAAGTCTAAATATGGAAAAAAATTATTGTTTTTCTATTATTTAAAAGAGAAATGAGCTAGTATTAAAAAAATCTCAATGCTCTGGAGCCAGGCCATACATGCAGCCTCTGCCATATATGACATGTGTGAGCTTGGCCATGGTAATTAACCTCTTCTTAGTGTTTATTCTCAGCTGTCAATGTTGGTACTTCTCAAAGTTGTAGTAAGACATAAATGAGATAATATGCAAAGTTTCTTACCAGAATGACTGATATATTTGCCCATTTATGGCATATAGGAAAAGCAAGAGATTTGGAGTCCCAACTAAATTCACTAAATTATACCATCTTGTTTCTGGATGAAGAGTTTTACTTTAGGTGAGAGAAGCTAAATGTGCATATAAGGAGAACATCCTGTTTCATGTTATTTAATCAAGGCCAGCCATCTCACTAGTGATTAAAGATGTTATTAAGTAGAATTAATTTCTATATTTTTAATGGAGATGACCTTTAAGGGCTTAATCAGTTGATTTTTATTACAGGGCAAGTTTTTTTCTGTTTTAATTAAACATATTTTATTTTGCTCACTTTTCTCTGTTAAGTCCAATGACAGTTCCTTTGCAAGGTTCCTGTTTTGTGTTTTCTTCCTTTAGTGAAGATTAATGCATGAAGCATATATTTCTCCTATACTGTTGATTTCTTTACATCTTTGAACAATGGATAGATTTAATCTTTGGGTCTCTCTCAGAACAGTGGGATTTAAGCTGAGATAACAAATTTCGAGTGATTTTTAGTTCTTGAAAAAAATACTCAACTGCAGGGTTGTGATGCCTTGTACAAGCTTGCCCTTTCTTTCTTTTTTTTTTTTTTTTTTGAGATGAGGTCACTCTGTCACCCAGCATAGAGTGTCATCTCGGTTCACTTCAGCCTCTGCCTCCTGGGCTCAAATGATCCTCTCACCTTAGCCTCCCAAGTAGTTGGGACTACAGGCATGCACCACCATGCCTGGCTAATTAATTTTTTGTATTTTCGGTAGAGACAAGAGTTTTGCCATCTTGCCCAGGCTGATCTTGAACCCCTGAACTCAAGTGTTCTGCCCGCGTCAGCTTCCCAAAATGCTGCGATTACAGGTGTCAGCCTCGCACCCAGCCACCCTTTCTTTCTTTTTTTGTTTTTTTTTTGTTTTTTTGTTTTTTTTTTTGAGACGGAGTCTGGCTCTGTTGCCCGGGCTGGAGTGCAGTGGCCGGATCTCAGCTCACTGCAAGCTCCGCCTCCCGGGTTCACGCCGTTCTCCTGCCTCAGCCTCCCGAGTAGCTGGGACTACAGGCGCCCGCCACCTCGCCGGGCTAGTTTTTTGTATTTTTTAGTAGAGACGGGGTTTCACCGTGTTAGCCAGGATGGTCTCGATCTCCTGACCTCGTGATCCGCCCGTCTCAGCCTCCCAAAGTGCTGGGATTACAGGCTTGAACCACCGCGCCCGGCCACCCTTTCTTATTTTTAAAGATAATTTATTCGTAGACAAGGAGAAATCTTTGTTAATTGTTGTTAGTATTATTTAATGTACTAAAGTAAAATATGTGATGTATGCCAACTGAGCAGCCTATTAGTGAATATTTAAGTGAATTCATATTTAGAATATGAATTCTAAAAGTAAATTATTGAGTCGTTTAATATGTAAGAGGGAGAAATTTCAAATGTTATCATTGTTTTTTTTTCCCCCATAGACCAGGGCTAGTGAGATGTTTCTTGATTCATTCTTCAGTATCATTAAGGAATATTGACTGTAGAAGCTAAGTTTAGTAATTTTACTATTTAAGTATGCATTACTGTCTTGATACTCTATATAAAACTGTACAGGCATAATGATGATAATGATAGGAGCTACCACTTACTGAGAATCACCAAGTAGTAATCATTGTATTCAGTGCTTTGTGTGTTTTATTTTCTCCCTGCTATCCTGAAAAATAGAGTATTATTTTGCAGATGAGGAAACAAGTTTAGATTAAAATTAAGGAATTTGCCTGAGACTGTACTGTCTTTTAGTTCATAATTTCTGAGTATTTGATTTTGTGTTAATTCACTTGTCTATCTGTTACCATTAATAAACTGATTTTTTATGAACAATTCCCATGAGTTCACCTTCTGCAAATTATGGTGTATAATCTGAGTTCTGCTATACCTATGCAAGATAAATATAAGCTCATTTTTCTTTTTGCCTATGGATTGTCAAACAGGACAGTGTATTATATTGGTAACTGTTTCAGTACTGGATTCTGGAGTCTGGCAAATGTGGATTTGAATCCTGGCACTACTGTATATTAGATTAGTGCAAAAGTAACTGTGGTTTTGGACCATGATTTTTAAATCATTTTAACTAGGCTCAAACACATCTTTATTAATCAAAATAGGAACCATTACAATCAACACATTTTTGCCAATAAGAAATAAGTTTGTTTATTCCTGTAGCATAAAAATCTGTGCTTTGGGATTCTCAAACTCTTGGAAAGCATTTTCTGCATCTTGCTGGTTGTGGAAGCATTTTCCCTGCAAAAAGTTGTCAAGTTGCTTGAAGAAGTGGTAGTCAGTTGGCAAGAGGTCAGGTGAATATTGCGGATGAGGCAAAACTTTGTAGCCCAGTTTGTTCAACTTTTGAAACATTGGTTGTGCAACGTACAGTCAGACATTGTGAAGAAGAATTGGGCCCTTTCTATTGACCAGTGCTGGCTGTAGGCATTGCACTTTTCTGTGCATCTCATCTATTTGCTGAGCATACTTTTCAGATGGAATGGTTTCACCGGGATTCAGAAAGCTGTAGTGGATCAGACTGGCACCTTTTTTTGGTGCAAGTTTGGCTCTGGGAAGTGCTTTGGAACTTCTTCTTGGTCCAGCCACTAAGCTAGTGGTCACCAGTTACTGTATAAAATCCACTTTCGTCACATGTCACAATCTGATCGAGAAGTGGTTCTTTATTGTTGCGTAGAATAAGAGAAGATGACACTTCAAAACTGTGATTTTTTAAATTTTCACTCAGCTCATGAGGCACCCACTTAATCGAGTTTTTTCACCTTTCCAATTAGCTCCAAATCCCAAACAACTGTAGAATGGTCGACATTGAGTTCTTCGGCAACTTCTTGTGTAGTTGTAAGAGGATCAGCTTCCATCATTGGTCTTAGTTGGTCGTTGTCAACTTCTGATGGCCAGCTACTATGCTCCTCATCTTGAAGGCTCTCATCTCCTTTGCATATTTCTTGAAACACCACTGCACTGTACGTTCGTTAGCAGTTCCTGGGCCAAATGCGTTGTTGATGTTGCAAGTTGTCTCCGCTGCCTTATGACCCATTTTGCACTCAAATAAGAAAATCATTTGAATTTGCTTTATTTGCTTTTTGTCTAACATCAATTTTCATAGTCTAAAATAGATATAAACAGCAAGTAATAACATTAGCAAAAAACATAAAGCAAGAAATGCACATTAAAATAATGTGTAATATAACCACATTTATTTAAGAATGTAATCCAGTATCAAACAGCAAAT